GACCCCGACAAATTTTTTTAGGCAAGAGAAAGCTGGGCAATCCATTGGCCGGAAAATCGAAGTGGACCTCTCATGCCAACAGGTCACTGAGCTGCCTGACAGGCGCAGCACGGGTCACCACCTTGTCCACGCATTTCATTGAACCCATTTTTGTACTGGGAACAAAACCCTGCCCTTCAGCCTGGACAGCTACGCTCTGCCTTGAGCTCCCGAGACATTGGACAAGCGGCCGGTATGTGGCTCATCCTGTTGGGTATTGGTCAAACATGGTGCCCTGTGACATGCCAGTGCCATCTTTTCGCCTATGAATAGCATCCCAAAAAAGAGAAGTCGACCAAACACATGCCCAGATCTATCAGTCAGCCTGTCAACTTGAACGCCGCAAACTTGAAGAAGCCGCGACAAAAATGGGATTGAACCCTTTTCAAGATCCCCTTTGCTGTGAACAGCAGTGCCAGTCAACCACCATGTTAAAGCCCATGTTTCCCATAGTGAACTACTGTGTCTGAGTATCTGCCTTCAGACTTCCGTTTGAACTACGGCAACTTTTCCTGTTTACGCAATCCTTGGTTGCAAGGTGAACGCCGAGCTTGGCGGTTGCCAAACAATGGATCTCGATTCAGTGGGCTGGACCTCCTTGCAATCAAGGCAACGTGAAAACGAAAACCCTGCACCACTTTAAAACCATGCGAAGCCGTTGTTTGTTTTTGTTGTTTACTGGAAAATAATCATTCCAGGGTTTCTTATGTGGTGCAGGATTTCGTCCATCCACAGTACCAACTCTAATTTCTGCTTTCGAACACCGCCAAACCCTCGAACCCGAAAAAGCCGATTCCACCAGCTCCAAAATCCAGAACTTCCGATGTGCCCAGTTTGCCCTTGGTTCGTGATTTAGGCTTGACAGGCATCCTTCATGGGCAAAAACCATTCAGCCCCCTCCCCCCCCCCGCGCAAACCCAAAAACACCAACATCTCCCCCCAAACCATCCACCACGTCCCTAACCAGAACACGAAATTCCGGTAGCTCCGAACCTCTCTAAGGCCACTTGGATCCCAGCTCACAGCTCCGCTTCCCGACGATTCCGAGGCGCTTGCCCTTGGCGCAGCTCAGGCAGCCCATGCCCGTGGTACCCCGGTGCCCATTGGCGTCGTGGGTGCAGTAGTGCCCGTCCCCGATGCCCCCGTCCTGCATTGACTCCGCAGAGGCCACCGCGTAGAACCTCCCAAGGACAAACGTCGGACGGGTCCACGCGCAATCGGAAAAGCGGCCCTCTAATCTATGGGTGGTGTATGTTTTCTTTGTGGTGTTTGTGCTTTGCTTCAATGGCTGTGCGGTGTGTAGGTGTGTGACTCGTGTTTCCCTTTTGGCTTGGTTTCAAAGGGAAACCCAAGGGGTTCCCTATGATGTAGGGTGATGTTTAGACTCCAAAAAGACACCCCCATGTGCACATGTGTATGCAAGTACATGCATATATATATATATATATATGTGTGTGTATCTTCATATATACATATATGCATATGTAGATATAGGTAGATATATGTGTGTATATGTGTATACATATATATATATATATGTATTTATTTATATTATGAATTCTCAAGGCGAGGCGCCCCGTACCCTGCACCAGCTCGGCAGTGTTCACGGAGCCGCAGGAGGCGCAGCAGGTGTCCCCGTACCTGGCTGGAGTGCCAAGTCCAGCCAGAAAGGAAGGGGTGTACCCACCCCCGGGGGGTGGGGGGGAGGGGTGTACAAAAGGTGTCTTTTGTTTTGGGAGTTGGTGCGCTCCTGTCCACCAACATAGCACTTGAGGGAGGGTACCTGGAAGTCAGTTTCCTTGGCGGTTGTGAAAGGGAAACCAAATGCAAACCAACCGTTTTTGTACCTTTAGAGACACGCCCATGTCCTGAAGCTGCTGTCATACCTCTGCCCAGTTTGGATCCAGAAGTGAAAGGAAGGCGATTACCTTTTGGGACCTTTACAAACAATCTGAACAAGCTTGCCGAATCGCTTTGGGCAAGTGAAAGGTAAGCAAACATTTGGTACCTCTAGGTTTCATCATGGGCGAAGCCATTTGGGGAGTAGTGCCCTTTGACACAATACCCACATGGTTTGCCCTGCTTACCCACCTTTTGTGGCTTGCCTAGAAGCACTTGGCTGCCACTGGTTGGTTGACCCGTTCAATGGGTTCGTCACAAATGGGTTCTAAATTCTCTGATGCGGATAGAGGAAGCTGCCTGAGGAATGGTGGCGGCTGGCTTCCGCTACCCCAAAACCACTAAGGGCTTAATGGAAAGAATATTTACAGCGACTTTATTGCCACTATAAGGGTCTATTCCCAGACTTCTTCGGGGAAGTGATCTGCGGGTGGAACCCACCTTGACTCTTTGGAACAATTTGGGGAAGCCAAAAGCACTCAAAGAAAAAGGAGGCCAAAATTGCGAGAAGACCCGAAAGGGGGGCCACAGGTTGGTCCAACAAACAGGGAAAAACCCACCCATGCTGCCATACCAAAAGCGGACATCTACACTGTTAGAATGTTGATCCTGGGAGATTCTACTGATAGACAGAATCCACTTCGCACTAGGATTCCGGTGGTTTAGTAAGCAGTATTCAAGCCGGGGTTCATCCACTGGTGCCGACCGGTTCGAGTGGATTTTGCCCATGGGAGCTATCCGCCTAAGGACCCCACCTGGTGGTGGTGGCCAGGTGTTGGTAGCCCATGCGCTTCCGGATCGACTGCAGCTTCCACCTCGAAAGGGTGGCCACTGGGGCCAAATTCCAGAAAAAACACCCTGAGCCTTGTACCGGATGCTCTTTAAAACAACAGTGACTTCAACATGACTTAAACATGTTTTTTTACCGCAAGGGTTTGACGCAACCCTGGTGGGGGGATATAGGGCAAAACCATTTGGGAGATCAGTCCAGGGTTAGGATGCTATGGATCTTCCACCGAGCATTGAGCGACTAAAGGAGTCATGAGCACATTTCTGGAGGAAACCACAAGCGCCAATCGAAACCCCTTTGTAGCCTAAGGGCCAAGTCCTGAACATGGCCCATTGCACATAGGTGCATTCATATGTGTGTATGTAGTACTGATGTCTCACTGTTTGTACTGAGATGTAGAAAAATATCAACTGATAGATTTCAGATTTATTTCAGGCTTGTCACTTTCCCTTTCAGGTTACTCGGTGGATTGGTGGTTTGGTCATTGGTGGTTATATAGGGGTGTCCTATCTAGCTACAAGAACCAGAGGTTCAAATCCCTAACCCAATCCAAGCAACAACCTAAGGATTACTTGAATGTGGCTGCAAAAAAGGCGGTACCGATTGTTCGGGTTCTTGGATGGAAAATACCCGTGTAGGCGGAAAGCGTGTCTGCACTTGCGGCTGCGCCACCTGCGCCGTCTGCGCCGTCTGCGCCGTCTGCGCCGTCTGCGTCGTCTGCGCCGTCTGCGCCGTCTGCGCCGTCTGCACCGTCTGCGCCGTCTGCGCCGTCTGCGCCGCCTGCGCCGCCTGCGCCGCCTGCGCCGTCCGCGCCGGTTGCGCCGTCTGCGTTGTCCGCGCCGTCTGCGCCGTTTGCGCTGTCTCAGCCGTCTGCGCCGCCTGCGTCGTCTGCCCCGTCTGCGCGGTCTGCGCCGTCTGCGCCGCACGCCTGGCCTGCACCATCTCAACCGTCCACGCGCTTTGCGCTGTGAACAAGAGCATAGGCAACTGTAGGGAGCCAACGGGCGTGAAAACCTTGCTGCATGCGCATCAAAACAGGCGATCACCGGCGTGCAGTTCCCCGTGCGCCCGTGAAAAAAAGTTTTGCCTTGACACAAATTCTGAGTGGCCGCAGCAGGCGAAGAAGCATCTGGTGTGTTCTAGGGTGTCAAAAAAGCACAAAATTTGAAGCTGGACGCAACATCCAATCATGGTACAAATTCTGGCAAAATTTGCTGTGTGAATGATTCTTTCTTTGCCTGATGTGGGTTCTTGGCACTTGTGCCCCAGTGAGGGGTTTGTTGCCTGTTGACCCGCTAGCTACTGTGTTTCATGCCGGGTGCTTTTTGTCCCTACAATGTAGACAGAGCAAACACTTATTTCTTTCTTTCTGTCCTTCTTTCTTTGTTTTGCTGATTGTGGCCCTTTTGTGAAGTTGTACCACGTTGATCGCTTATTCTTGCGGTGTCTAGGACAGGCTTTGAACTTTTCCACCTTTCAAGGCTATTTCCTTGACTGCTGATGCTGCCAAGCAATTGAGCCTTTGGGGAAAGCAATCAGCATCCAGTATGTCTACATTCTAAACGGGCGGCAAACTCCTTCTGGATATAAAGCTCAAAGGAATTTGCATCCGGTATGTCTACATTGCAGGGGGTCAAAAGGGGCCAAATCCCTTCCGGACACTACTACCAGACGAACCCGGCGAAGCCGGAAAGCGGACGTTTCAGACATATAAGAACTATAGGTCTGTTTTCTGTTGTCTTCTTCTTTCCTTCTTTCTTTCTTTCTTTCTTTCTTTCTTTCTTTCTTTCTGTTTCTCTCTCTTTCTCTCTCTTTCTCTCTCTCTCTCTATCTCTCTGTCTGTTTATCATCTGTCGATCTATCTATCTTTCGTCTCTCTCTCTCTCTCTCTATCTCTCTCTCTAGGCACCTATCTACCTAGCGACCAAGTGGCAGGCGCAGCCACGTCGCGAGGTCAAGTACACATGTCGTGGCAAGCGCTGAACTTTCGCAAGGTTGGCTAAAGATTCCGTGGCAGGCACAGCACGTTCGTAGACAGACAGCTTGGTAGATAGGTAGAGAGAAAGAGAGAAAGAGAGAGATATCCATCCGTCTATCTAACCTGGTTGCTCTTTATCTGTCTACCTACGTACCTGCCTACCCATCCATCTATTTTGCAATCTATCTTATCTCTATCTTATCTCTATCTTTTCATTTATCTTTCCACTGTCTTTCTTTCTTGCTATCTCTCACTATCTTTCTATCTGGTCTATCTACTTTTGCATCTGTCTATACGTACCTCCCTCTCTCTGTCTCTGCCTTTCTAGACATCTATCTATCCATCTATCTACGGCTTTTGACTGTTTCTTGCAATCGTCCAACACCCCTCCTGCAGCAGCAAAATACTGATCTTTGCTTTATCTATCGCTCTCTCTCTCTCTCTCTCCCTCACTCTCTCTCTCTCTCTGCCTAGTTAATCTACCTAAGTATCTATCTGATCTTTACATCTAGCTGCGCCTGCCACGAAATCTGCACCTGACCTTGGGAATGCGCTGCACCTGCTACGAAAATCTGCACCTGACCTCGAGCCTGCTACGAAATCTGCACCTAACCTCGCGAATGATGCGCCTGCCACGACCTCGCGAAAGCGCCGCGCCTGCCAGCGCCTGCCATGCGAAACTAAGCCTGCGAAAAGCGCGCGCGTCCGTGCCAATGGGTCTCCGAACGCGCTTCGAACGCGTCCGCAGGTGCTCCAAGATCGCTCCGACCAGGCGTCGCGATCAGGCTAACTTTCGGGCATCCTAAAGTATCGACGAACCCGGAGAGGGCTGCACTGTTAGCTTTCTTCAAGTTTCTATTCCCCCGCCGCACGCGCGCTCTATTTTTTCCGCGCCTTTCCTTCTTTTGGCGTCTGTCTCAAACAGCCAGCCTTCAATTAGGTGCCTTAACACGGTATTGCTTCTAAACTTGGCAGACACTGCGATACAAATTCAAGCAAGCCACGGCAGGCAAAGAAAAACGCGTCTGCCATGTCTACAGTGTAGCCAAGAACACTGCATTCGGTAGGTCTGCACTTTAGGGGGTCAACGGATAACAAGCCCTGAACACTACAAGAATGGGCGGTGACCGGCGCACAAATTCAAAGGGGCCACAGCAGGCAAAAACATAATCAGATGCATCCGTTGTGTCAAATGGGAAGCAAACCCCTGCGAAACACCACAAGAATGGGCAATCACTGGGCACAAGTTCAAAGGGGCCACAATAGGCCAAAGAGACTAGCATCTTGTATGTCTGCATTGTAGGGGTCAAAAGGTGCCAAACTCTTGTTGCCACAGTCACGCACGCAAAGAAAGAAAGAAAGAAAGAAAGAAAGAAAGAAAGATTGCGGATGGTGCGGATGGAGCGGATGGAGCGGATGGAGCGGATGGCGCAGATGGTGTGGACGGTGCGGATGGTGCGGATGGTGCGGATGGTGTGCATAGTGCGGATGGAGCGGATGGAGCGGATGGTGCGGATGGTGCGGATGGTGTGGATAGTGCGGATGGAGCGGATGGAGCGGATGGTGCGGATGGTGCGGATGGTGCGGATGGTGTGGATGGTGCGGATGGAGCGGATGGAGCGGATGGTGCGGATGGTGCGGATGGTGCGGATGGTGCTGCAGACGCGGATCCCGCTCACAATGGAAAATACAAAGACCAAAACCTGCGCTACCCCTGCTGTTTAATTTACAGCAAGGAACACTTGGGCGTGTGCGTTTTTTAATGGGGACCCCCTTTTTTGGTGGTTTTGAAACACAAGGGAAACCAAAGGAAAACCATCATTTTGGTGGGTCCAACCAACAAAAAAAAGGACACAGATTGAGCTTCGGCGCACGGGAGGGTCGTGGTAGTAGGCGCTGCGGGTCGTGGCATTCTCCCAGAACTCCAGGCCCCGTGCCCGTCCCCCCCGCAGCAAGTCCTCCTCGGCGATGCGTCCAAACGGTCTGCTTCTATCCTCAGGGCTGCTACAAGCTTCATCCACTGCCTGCTTTACAAGGGATGATCCTCTTGGCCGGTTTTCAACTGGTGCAAATGTCCCCTTTCGGGCTGGAACACTCTTAACTACTGGTTAGTAAGTTTACAACCCCATACAAAAACAAACAAACTGAGGCGGTCAAGTGTGTGCTTTGGCGCTTGCCACGCCGACCTTTTGCCACACGCGAAACTGCAGTGTAATGGATGTTCAACATGCTAAGAATGAGATGTTGGATAAACAACTTGAGGGAATTCCCATCATACAGGTTCTTGCCAGGTTCTCGTGTATTTGTTTTGGCGGAGAGTGCTCCAGTCCGCCCAATCCTCCGCGACAGAAGCGTTGGACGCGTCCGCGTTGCGTGAGGCATTCTGCCCGAGGCGGGCTGCTGCTGGGAGCAGAACTGCTCCAAGGAGCACCGCGCGCATCATCGAACAGGGAAGGAGCCGAAGCGAAGCTAAGTTAGAGCCCAAGTCTCCAAAGGGTGTCTTTCACTCGGACGGGACGGTTGCCCAGGTGTGGGTCGGGGCAAGGAAGGGGGGAATATGTGTGTATATAAATATATATACACAATGCCAATCCATGATGCTGATTTCTGCAAAAGCAAAGCCGTGGTGCGCTTCCCTTCCCATGGCGAAAAAGATTGACAGAAACCAACAAAAAACGCCGGCCAGTCTGCGCTCTGAATTGACAAGTTGGGGGGTCCCTTGCCCCGACGAGTTCAAAGTCAGCTCCAGAAAGCCCGCCAGTGGTTGGAAGACTCTGAGGTTGAATCCAACCTCTGGCACTTGCTGAATTCAACCCTTATTCACTTACACTACTGAGTACCAAGTACTACCTGCACAGGCCAGCCAAGCAAAACACACACACAAAGAAAAAGATGCAAAATTCCCAACCACCCAGCCACCCCCAGCTTCCTCCCCACGCCTCTCGAAAAAGTTCGAGGCGCCGCCTCCCTTAGGTCCAGCTGCTCGGAGTGCACGGAGCACCAAAACCCCGTCCACAGCGTGCCCTCCACCGCCGGAGGAAGCCGCAGGGGGCGCCTCGGGTGTTTTCTTCCCCGCACCGAAAACAACAAACAACACGCGGGGGAAGCATGAGAAAAACATGGGTTGAACATGAGCCAGACGCGGGGGGGAGATGTAAAACATGGGAAACCCGCAGCCCCGAAGTATATGGGTGAAATTTGCTTCGTCAACCTTCACGAAATCAGATGGTTGAGGTCGCACACCCCTGGTTGTAATTATGTGCCCCGCGTCTTCACGGATGTTTTGGTTGGCCAGTGGGCAAAAAAAAGTCAAATGGTGGACAACATTTCGGGGATTTATGTCCACCATTTGGAAGGGTGTTCCTCAACGTTTGCAGCCATATCGCACCCCCCTGACCTCGATTCATGGCGAAAACGTGTCAAGGAACCTAAAGATGATGTCGTAGCGCATGAGAACCACCAAGTCGTAGACAAAGTCTCCTTCCAGCTCCTAAGCCAAATCCGGCGAGGCTATGGACATTGATTGGCTGAAACCCCGGCCTTACGACCACTCAGAAGTCAAGCGCCGAAGGTTGGGAAGGGACTCGCAAACCGCTCATCTCAAACACGCTCAGAACGCTTTTCCCCACGACTGTGACTCGTTCAAGGGGCCAACTTGACGTACTCCCACCGCGCGGCAAAGATGCGATAAAGCAAGATGCGTTGCCAGTGTTGGAAGCGTCCCAGGGATGCAAGCAATCAGCGACATCCTAAATAGTCAGTGACGTTGAAAATGCGTACAGGCTCAACAGGTGTCTTGTAAGACTGGAATGTTAACCAGCTGAGTTCTTCACAAAGCCGGGCCCTCAGCAGCAGCAAACCGCGGGGCACCCCGCACCGAGTGTTCAAAGGCGTTCTGCTCCAGAACGCCCATGTTCTAAAACAACACGTCCCCATGGGCAAGTCATTGTCACGGGGCCCGTTTAGCGGATTCTAATGTATACACGGGTTCCTGTTTCCAGCATGGACAATGATGTGTGTACCCGTTTGTTAGAACCATTCAGTTCAGGTTCACCCAAAATAACTCCCCAACTGGAACTCATGGGCAAGCCTGATTTATCCCGGATCGGTGAGCTCATTATTAATTGCCGAGTTGTTTGTGAGCTTGGATTTGTGGTTTTGGAGTCTAAGGTGTCATTGGTTTAATCAGGAAGGGGTTCGAATCCCAAACCCATATGGGTGGTTTTGTTGAGGCCACCCTTGGGGTCAGCCCGGGAAACCAAAAGGAAACCACCCCTTTTAGGGAATGGGACCCTATTGGGTATCTTTTTTAGGGGACCCCAAAAATATATTTTGTTTTTTTCCTTTTGGCTTGCCTTCAAGAAACCTACCAAAACTCGGGGTACTAACTCCAAGATCCGACACATGCCACCCCAAACCACCGATTTAGGGAAGGGGACTCTATTGGAACCCTAAAATGAGTGGTTTCCCTGTAAAAATCCACCACAAAGGGGCACCCTCAAAAAAATACCACGCCACCCCAGTTTAGGGAAGGGGGCCCTATTTTGACATCACACCCCTCCCCCTGGTTTTCCTTTGGCTCCCCTTCAAAACCTACCAAAAAGGAAAAAGGGAGAAAACAAGTGCATTCATCCCACCCCACATGCACCCCGCCCTCACCCCAACCCCCACCCACCCCCCCACCCAGCCCAGCCCAAACCGCTCCTCCTCCCTCTTCAGCGCGGCCGCCTCCGCCACCGCCCGCCCGAAGCTCTGCACCGGCAGCGTGCCGCTGGGCTGCCGGGCGCCCCTCGCCCGCCGCGGCCTCGGCGAACCGAACTGCCCGGAAGCCCAGCGGCTGGGGGCGGCGTTTGGGTCAAACGCACAGACCCCAAAACAGGGGGGGATGGGGGGGGTTGGCGGATTTTTCGGTTTGGTGGATTTTGCCCCAAATCGAAAGTTGATCAATGTATTGGCGGTGTCCACTGAAACTGCCACTTTTGAAGGTTCCAAAAAGGGAAATGGAAGAAACCCTGCGAAGATGAACGGGCCTATTTGAGTCATTTAGGGTATTTGTTCTTTAGGGTTCTTCGCTGCAAATACTCTCTAGGACTCTAGGTGTGCATGGCCCCCCGCCCCTCAGAAAGTCCAGCTTCGGGCCCAGAGCAAAACATCAATGTAGAGGTCAACTTACTTACTCAAAAGAGCCACCTGAAGAGCCACCTGTGGTTGGGGGGCTTGCCCAAAAGTGGAAGCATATGCTTGCCGCGTAAATTTGTGCGAGAGCTCGGCAGCTGGCAGCGGACCACCGCACGGTGGCTTTCTTGGCAAATCGTGAAGGTGCTGAAATGCGATGCTGACAGCAAATTGGTGCCTCTCCAGACCTCTGAACCCTTTGGTTGCTCTGAATTGGTCCATATTTAGGCAAGGTTCTAAAGGTTAACTGTGTATTTCATTGGAAGCCATTGGAAAGCATGGGAAATCATGGGGAACATATTGGAAAAGCATAAGGGGAACCTTGGAAACCAAGGGAAAACATTGGAAACCACAGAGAAAAAACAGAGTCAAACAAAAGGCCCCCACTTCTGTCTTGTGAGGACCTTTCCCGAATGACCGAGGAAGTTGCAAACAAAAACCTGCACCAAGCCAGGGAAAAACCACACAAATTGTCTTGTACGACACATATAAGAAAGCAGGCCTGTATTGTCGGCGGTCTGAGCCGGAGGCGTTAAAGTTTCACCTTTTCTGTGATACCCAAGTGGTCTTTGTCTAGGGACACCCCCCGCCCCAGAAAAATAAATAAATGAAGAAATAAACAAAATCAATAATGAACAAAATGAACAAGCGGGTAAAACCTACCCAAGTAGTCTTTGTTTGGGCGTCTCTCCCCCCCAATCAAACAAAAAAAGTATCTTTTGGCTCCGCTTCCAACCACCAAAAAGGGGACCAACTCAAAAGAAAACCACAATTGAGCTGCAGGAGTCCTCGGCGCAACTCGGCCCCGCGCCCAAAGGCTCGGCGGATCCTCAGCAAAAACGGGGCGGCTCCGTGGTGAAAAACAGATGGCTGTGTATCGAAACCAAGTTGGACCCCTGGAAAAGGAAGGCGTGAAACCAAGCGGTTGGAGGAATCCAGCTCGTTTCATCACATACCCAACCCCACCCCCCATTTTGCTGGAGCGCATATATTACATCCAAAGGACACCAACATGGTGGGCTGTGCGCATGAAAGGGCCTCTGTTCAGACCCCGGTTTCATGTTGACCCGCGTTCACGGGAGGGCGAGGGAAAAAGGTGCATGACTTTGACAAGCCACATGTCGTTTTCGGAATTAAGTATTTGCAAAGGTCCAACTTTCTTCTGACCCTCAGCCATGCAGTTGTTTATGGATTCCTGCTTGACCCACAAGCTACTGTTTACCCAGTCCACTCAACAGGCGGCCCAATTTGATCCACAAGGAAGCAAGGAACCATCACCGGTGACGGGCGGGTTTCTTGGCGTCAGACTCCAACTGGCTGCTGCCCGCTCGTATTATGATGCAAAAGCTGGGCCGGTCCACTGGCGCGTTAAGAACCTCCATTTGGCTTCCCTTCAGATGGTGTCCCTAAAATGGTTGCTCGTTGAACCCCACCTTGGAGGAAACATGGCTCTTGCATTTTCGCTTGGCGGGGGCAGGAGGCCGAGGTGTGGGGAGGTCTGCCTGCTGAATTTTGAGAGAAACCAGTTGACCTGCCTGGTTGCCCCATATTGGGAGACGTTTGTTGGCTCACAAAACGGCGCACAACCCAGGAAACGTTCTTAGATTCTAAGAAAAGGTTCTTAGAAGGGTTCCAAGAACAGTTAAAAGTGCACAGCAATCAGATCCATTTGGGGGCATACAGCCCAAGCGCAGAGCTGGGTTAAGGGGCCTATTTACGCCAAGCGGCGCCGGGACCAAGTGCTCATCCCAGGTGTGGGCGAAAATGTCCCACGCGAAGTCCGGGTTGGCCCGGACCTCAACGCTCGGCCGCTCGGCGAGGTGCACCAATCCAGCTACTGGTACCCTGTCAAATTGCCAAGGATGTGTTCCAATGAATAGCCGAGACATCCAACAAGCACCCCAAGAAATCAGAAGCAAACACCTCAAAACAAGACAATCAACCGAGCTACTCCTCAAGCCAAACGACAAATCCCAACACACAATCCAGCAAACAGCTTCCATGTATGATTTGCACTCCAGCCAAATGACAGATAAAACCATGCCCCACCCATCGGGCAACTGGACCGGCTGAGCGCTGCAGTGGAAGACACATGTGTGGAAGACACGCAGTCAGCCAACTCCCTTAGTGGCAGTCTCAGTCTCAGCAGGACAAAGGGGGGCTGCTTGTCTTCCAAAACCGATCTCGTGCTGCACGCACCAAGGGCCGTCAAGGAGACATGTTCACAGAAAATACTTGCCTCAGAAGCCCAGCGGGCACGGGAACACAAAGGGCGCCCTGGTTCTGTTGGTGGACTTCAAAAGAAAACGTTTCCCCAAGAAAAGAATAAGCCCAGGTGACATCCCCAACAGCAACCCGTCCGGAACCCTTCCCGAACCCTTTTCTAGCTGCCGGACCAACTCCTTGTCGACCCCAAAGCTTTCAGCTGCAAAAACGACGTGGCACCTGCGGCCCCGACCACGTGCTCCCAAACCGTGCTGCTTGAGAACTCGAGCGCCTCCTCGCTGGAGCCTGCCTGTCCACGGGCTACAGGCAGGTGGAGTGATCTTTGGTTTATGGGTCCAAAAACAGGTTGGGGGTCGAAGAAACAAGGAACTTCTCAAAACATGAGCAGGTATTAATTCGCTGAGCAACCTTGCCAAAAAAAGGCTGTCCGGTGTGTTGACTCGCGTGCTGACTTCAGCACACATATTTTGTCAGGAAGGGCCCAAAATTGAACCCCAAGTGAACCAGCCTGGCTAGACTAATTGGGAACGCTTGCCTCCAAAAGTGAAGTCTCAGCCTCAAAATGAGACATCGCCTATTCATGATGTTGGGATTTGACAGACTCAAGCCATTTCTGGGCTTCCTCTCCTGCAAATTAAGTAAAACGTGGAACCCCCCAAAAAGGGGCTCCGTTGCCCCCAAACATGACGTTGCTGTCTGCTGTTCTGTTCTCCACACTAATCAGAGCCCCTGCCCCCGCAATTCCCCTAAAACGGATCGAGGTGTCCTCCAAAGATGCCGTGTTGCGACATCCTCGTTGCTTCCACGTTGATCAGCAGGCGCCCGATACAGCGGCCGGTGCTCGCATCCAACCCGCGGGGGCCTCATCGAACTTTCCCACGACGTTGCCCACGCGCCCAAAGAAGCACAGCGCCGCCCGGGCGCACAGCTGCCCGAAGCGGCTCCTCCGTCGTGTTCGCACGGGGAACGCGCGCCTCTTTTGGGTGCAAAGGAGAAACCTAAGCAAAGAACGAAAGTGATCAGCCCCCCAATTTCAGGAACTGGTTCCACTATGTTGAGAAACCGTATGCCTCAAAGACATATATGAGGCACACTCGAAAATACTCACTTGCGGCCGTCTCGCTACTTGGTTTGAGAGCCCCCTATCGTTTTCCAGCGTTTCCATCCTTTTCCAGGGGTATCGTTTTTTCAGAGTCCCCTATCGTTTGCCATGGTTTTGTGCATTTTCACAATATCAATGAAACACCGAATACTAAACTCAACAGAAGTAATTTTGACGGTACGTCATATGATAGAAGCCTCTGTGTCAACAGCATGATGGCACGTACAGCAGAGCCCTTGGGTAGATGAAGCTGTCCCGGCATGACAACAATATACCCAAAATCCGCGAAAGCCTGCAGCCACCTTTGTTCAGAACTTGGATGGCCCCTGCGCACTTCCAATTCTCCAGGATTTGAAGCTGATGCGTTTTGCTTCTTTGGCCAAGGGGCGAGCCAAGGAAGACGGGAAGACTGCCGAAGCAGTACTCAACAAACACTGACTTTCAGCAGCATGGATATGTGATTCAAACCCGAGACAATTGTAGGGCCTCTGTTCAACATGACTCTGAACGCAAGCCGAGCTGAAAGCATTGAAGCGGCCAGACAGTCCAAAGACCCTTGCACCCAAGGAACCAAGCCAAGTTCTACCCTTGTGGTTTCAACATCTTTGTGGATGTGTCCTTTAGGAATCCAAACTGAAGGTTTTCCTTCTGAATTTTCCTTTTAACCCCCCAGAAAACGGGCCTTTTGGGTCTTGGCTCAGAGCCCCACAAGGCCCGAGTGCCATCTCACCACGATTCTCAAGTCTCCTGAGCCGCGTCGGCGGCAGCGTGGCGTTGCCTCCGTCCTGCCAAAATTTAAAGCCCAAATTTCCCGAGCGAAAGGGCAGTGGTGCGCTCTATTTTTGAGGGGGATGATGTTGTTTGGGGGTGATCATTCCCATGACTACTTGGTCACTTTGAAGGGGATTCCCTTGGCCACTCGTCAGAAAGTGGCAACCCAAAACCTGCTGGTTTAGGTTGTGGTTGTCTAAATCTTTCAAGGCTGGCCGCAGGATTTCACCATCAAAGTCACCCCGACGTGGTAGGTTACAGTACCCTCTACCGACAACTCCCAAGAACAGTCAATATAATCTGGGCTGTCCTCGGATCCCCTGCTAAAGGTGAACACAGGTTCAGAGGGATCAATGGAAAGCCCCACCAAACCCTCAAAACCTAAAACCCAAAGGCTGGGGAACGCCAAGCAACCCCAGCAAGGGCACACCGCTCCTCCAGGCGCACCAGCACAGCTCCGGGAAACCGCTGCAGCACCTCGCCGCGCAGGAACTCATCCGCCACCCAGACCTGAGCAGGATGCATTGATTCCGCCCCTTAGAGGAGGAACCAACAGCAGGCTGCTACCCCCACCTTCAATGGGAAATCAACAGCTGGTTCTTTAAACAGTACATGGTTAAACCATTTGTAGGGGGGATGCTGCCAACCGATGGGAGCAACGGTTTCCAAGCCGCACTTTGCTTTGGGACCTCTCAGGGTTCCAAAGCAACAGCCGCGCGGACAGGGAGAGTGTGAGGGCCGAAGGGCCTAAGAGCGCGCTCGAAAACAAACATATTACTCGCTAACCCAAGCAGCACACTCACATGAGAGAAGTGCTCCCAAGGCTTATCCATCCCTAACTTCCCCAGAGCCCGGCAGGGCCCCAGCCGGCTGCCCGCGGCTGCATCCTGGCTTGCAACATGAGGCAGCTTGCTGTTGCCTTAACGCAACCCCCATATAAAGTTGACAATCCGATCTTGCAACGGAAAGAAAAAGGGAGCGTGCACTCCTTAGCGCAACTGCAAAATGTTCATGTCGGCCTGCGTCACAAACCAGCGAGTTCCATGCATAAACAAGCTGTCCTCTGAGTCTTTGGCACCGCTTGCTTGATGGATGCAGCGTACCAGAGAACGAGGACCCTACAAATTAAATGCTCCAACTGTTACATCTGGACGACCAGGATCGAGGGGGCTTGGTTACCAGGTGCCTAGCTTTGACACAGTCACGGAGCTATGAGGAAACACCCTAAAAAACACCGAATCCTACCCTTCAAAAAAAGAACAAACATGTGTATGGCAGGGAGGTACCCTCGCGTCAGGTCTTGGGAGGGCAACGGGGTTCCACATGTTGCTAGCAAAGCATCCGCAAGCCCGCCTGCAGCGAATGGAAGCCCGGCCAGCACGGCATGTGAAGCCACGCGCATGCGCTGCGGTATTCACGGGATTGTGTGTCTGTGGATGCTGGTGGGTTGACGGTGTGGGATCCTTGAGTCACATACTACCTACCGAAACCAGGATCAAGAAAACCCCCAGCCCCCAACAAAAGTCCTTCATGGGGCCAGATTCCTGATTTGCTCGCTTCACCCCGGCGTGGCAAGCTTTCAAAATAAGAAGATTGGCAAATCACGGCAAATCCTCGTAGCAGTGTTGTCGCATTGCTTTGAGCGCAAAGAAGTCGCGTGAGCAAAAGGGCACATGTGCCAATCCGACCACTTCGACCAAAATGTTTCGACTGGAAAGGCTGCATCATGCGGTCAACCGGAGGGTCGCAACAAAATTGGAACCAAAAGAAGTGATGTTAGAGGCTCCGTGAGGTCGATTTCAGGCTGTTGTCTGGGCCCTTTCGAATGAAGCTGAAGCAACGACAATTGGAATGAAGCTGGACGAAAGGGTTTCCTGGTGTTTGGAAATGAAGCCCGAGTGCAGCTTAATTTTGGTCTACCGTCAATTGATCGATTCGCCTCGGAGAACTCAGGCAGAGATGTGCGTTTGGCTCCAGGCGCACTGCCTTTGGCCGCTTAGCTCGTAGGCATTCAGAAGCTTCCACGTCATCCAACCCGGCTTTGGACCAACAAGAAATCAAGCACCTGCAACAAACAAAAAGCTTTGAAGAGTTCCGCCATCGCCTCAAGACGCACGCCTCCAACCCATCATGGCGGGATGCAGGCGCCATGATTGTTGGCAGGCGCGCCAGCCGAGGGCGATGTCGCCGGCCGGATGTGGAGCCGAGGGCCTTGGGGCCCTCGAGCGCCCTTGGGTCGCTCCGAGATCCCCCTCAGAGATCCATGGACCTTTCGCGTCTGGCGAAGGCCTCCTTGAACGGAATGAAGTTGCCTCGGGCAACCAGCCAGATCTCCGTACCCGTTCTGTACACAAGACACAGTAAAACGCAAGCAAGACCACACACCGGGATGTTTGTCCAAAATTGCAAAATCCCCGGCACGATCAGGCAGCAAGTCTCGGGAAGCTTTGGACACCTGCGGAAACCTTGGGAAGGAAACACACGTGAGGGAAACCCTGGACTGGGTGTGCACCTTTGCGTGACCCAATTGAAATGGCCAGTGGAACAAGTGATTTAGAGACACCATCAACCCAGTATTTGTCCGAGCTGGACGTGCGGTTCCTGCGCACAAAGGCCAATCTGTTCCGTTTCCGTGGCATGAACCCACAAAAGACTGTCGCGGTGGAAAAAACAAGCCCAGCCTCGGGGGTTGTGCCGCCGCCCACTGTTGTGGTCGTTGAAGATGCAAAAACTCACCTCCGATGGATGTGGGTATCCGGGGCTCATGGGCTGCTGATAAAAGGAAGCACACCCAGAGACCACTCCACCAGAAGCGCCTCTCTTAAGACATGCCCTGTCCTAAGAGTTTCAGGCTGGACCCGTCAATAGAATGCACTACATCGGGATGTGGCGATTCCCCAGAGCCAAGACCCAGTCAACACCAACAATTGGACAAATGGAGGGTAGTTCAGGATGTTCCCAACCAACAAAAGCCGCCGCCCGTCCAATTTCTTCCATGGTGTCAGGTACATCATTTCTTGCACGTTTCGGCTGTGATGCACCTCATATTCAACAATGGACGACCCCTCCAATCATGTCCAAAAGGGTCCTAGTTCCTGAGAGGTCCCAAAGGTTCTGTGATTTAGGGTTATTTAGGGAGCCTTAGGCAACCAGTGACTCGTACTATGAAATATTAAAAGGCAAACTCGCACCATTCAAAGATACACCCCGTTTGGCTGGCTATCACCCTGCCCGCAGCCATCAACAAGTTCTCCTGAAACAGCCTTCCCTCCCCGCACGCAACAACGTCCCCACCTCGTTTGCAAGGAGGGCATCAGACACCCACGAAATGAAGGACTCTTTGGAACCTAGGTTATACCCCACTCAGAAGTGCCCCGTTCAGCAAGATTCACCCTGTTAGTGGGTTAGAACCCAAGTAGCCAACCACTGACCTGGCAAATCGAAAATCCAAGTAACGCCCTGCCCCCGCCTTCTTCAGGCATGCTGTTCTCAGCTCCTCCTGGAAGACGCGCGCAACCTCCTTGCCCCGAGCGCTGCAAGACGCAACAAAATGCAGCCCCAAAGAGACATTTCTCGGGCATCTCTCTGTGCTCGGAAACTCTCCAGCCCCAATAGCCTATGATTCACAGATTACTTACCCCATCTGAGAGCCCTCAGGCCCTACTATTTCAAAAACGCAACGCTGGCACAACATCTGGGTTGGACAGTCCGCACAAAACTGGTACTAAACTTGCAGGGTCTAGCAAACCTCATATAGCCAATCAGGCGGACACCCAAGATGATTTGTGTCGGTTTGGATTGAACGGATCAAAAACAAATTATCTCGCCCGGAGTGCCAAAACCCTGTAATTTACATCATTTCCAGGCAGCAGCGCACGCATTCTTGTCAACAAAACTACCATCGGTTAAATGCCTGTAGCATGGGTTTTACCCCCCTGGTTTGTTCAAGGCAAGGTGGCTTAGGGTTGGCTGCAAGGTTAGTTGGTTTGAAGTTTAGGGTTGGTTCCGACCGACCGACCGAGCAACCAACCAACCAACCAACCAACCACCCACCCACCAACCAACCAACCAACCAACCAAACAAACAAACAAACAAACAAACAAACAAACAAACAAACAAACCACACACGCACAAATACACATAAATACACATAGATACACATAGATACACACACACGCACACGGGCACGCACACGCACACGCACACCCACACACACAAACACACACACACACAAACACACACACACACACACGCAAACACAAACAAACAAACACACACACAAACACAAACACAAACACAAACACAAACACAAACACACACACACACACACCACAAACACAAACACAAACACAAACACAAACACAAACACAAAAACAAAAACACACACACACACACCCACACCCACACCCACACCCACACCCACATGCACACGCACACGCACACGCACACGCGCACACGCACACGCACACACGCACACACGCACACACGCACACAGACACACACAGACACACACAGACACACACAGACACACACAGACACACACAGACACACAGACACACACGGACACACACAGACACACACAGACACACACACACAGACACACACAGACACACACAGACACACACACAGACACACACAGACACACACAGACACACACAGACACACACACAGAACACACACAGACACACACAGACACACACAGAACACACACAGACACACACACACACACAGACACACACAGACACACACAGACACACACAGACACACACAGACACACACAGACACACACACAGACACACACACACAGACAGACACAGACACACACACTGAGACACACACAGACACACAGAGACACGCAGAGACACACACAGAGACACGCAGAGACACACACAGAGACACACAGAGACACACAGAGACACACAGAGACAAACAGAGACACACAGAGACACGCAGACAGACACAGAGACACACAGACACACAGACACACAGACACACACACACACACCCACACACCCACCCACCCACCCAGCCGCGCGCGCGCACGCGCACGCGCACACGCACGCGTAACTGCTGGCGTGAATCCAGGTCACCGCCGGTTCATGTTGGGTGGGTGGTGGGGGAACGTCAGCACATCTGTTCCACTTGGCAGAAGCAAAGAAAAAAATCTTGCCTCAGGGGAAGAACTCACGGAAAGGCACGGGCAATGCCGCGGCAGCTGCCGGGAGCGTTGGAGCGTCAGCCGTGTCGACAGGCGGCCCGTGAAGGCAGTTGACGGGCACACTGGGCTGGTTCTGCATGTTGCAATCAGATGCCTGATTCAACACGCCCAGTGCTTCTGGCGCGATCTGCTGGAGCGCCTACGCGCCGGCACGCAGGGGAATTGCGCCCCGCGGGTCTCCCATAAAGGGTCCAAACACCCGGCGGAGCAGGAACATGAAACGGTGTTGGGCCTGGACCTCGTGGCCTTGGACTACAAGCCTGTGATTGTTGGTTGCCCTCAGCCTTTTAACTTCGTGAACGTGACCTACTGCTCCTTTCAGAGCTGCTTTTCCGTCGTCTGTGGCGGCCTGGTGTTTGCCGTTGGTTTCCCGAAAAACAGGGGTGGCTGCAACAGTGGCTACGCGTTGAAACGGTTGCGAGGCAGCTGCCAGGCCACAGCCTTGCCTGGGCTGCAGACCTGGATGGATCTGGCGGCCGCAAGTCCAAGACCGGAGCTTGGCCTAGTGAAACCTGGGCGCATGACCATCATGACATCACCACGCTGGCCAACGAAGCCAGTGGTGTCATGGGAAGGGATTGAGGACGCTGAATCCTGTACCCGTATCTGAAGCAGACCGCCTGTGGCTTCCCGTGTTTTCCGTGCTTTCTTTTTTTCCCAGGTGATCAGCAATAGCGCGTCGCATCAGGAGAAGTCCTGGCTTATTGCCCATGAAGTTTTCGCATGTGTAATGCATCCCAATGCATCGTAGAGCTCAACGAATCCGTCAGGATTCATGTCCAGTGGTCGTCGGTATTTTGTGCGGTTGCCCTGTTTTGGATCATGCCGAAAACATCCGGAAAACAATCTGCTCAATCGCTCGATTCGCCAGAGGATGAGGTCGGTGATCTGTTTTGCCTTGGATGGAGCCATGTCGAAATAGCGGCAAACCTGCTCAACATTCTGGACGGTCTTTTCAAGATCAATCTGGCGGTTGTGGCATACCATCGGAATGATGCCGGTTCCGAGAACTTCTGGCTGAGCATTGGTATTGCAGCAGATACTGTAGACCTTCTTGATGAAGTCCATGTATTGTTTCTCTGCATGTTGGCCATCACCTTGAAGTGTTGGCAGCCAGTAATCATTGAATCTGGCTCTCAACCAGAATACCTTCGCTCCATGTTCTAGTTCATGCTCAGGAATGAAGTGGAAGTCCGGATTCAATTCGAGGATGGTAGAGCACTCCTTGTAGTATTCGAACACGAAGTTGAGGAATCGAGAATTCCCGAAAGGTCCTGGATGTACGGATGCCCTCTGGAGGCAGATGCCGGTATCTGATTCTTCTGGGGCGATACATGGCAGTCATTCGTTTAACGCGCTGCCATTCGTAGCCCGAAGTGGCATGACATCGGCCGTTGGCCCTCTGAAGCAACTGACTTAAGCGAGCTCTTCTTTGCGGGTAATCTGCAGACAGGTTGACCGCCTGTCCCTAGTAAGGGAGTGAGAACCCCGACCAAGAAGGTGGCTGAAAGACTGCCCACACAGCCTCTGACTTACAATACCCCAACCCCAACTGACAATCGTCTACCAAACAGGCTGCGATTTTCGCGTGAGTTGGCTTGGTGTGCACAGAGTAGTGCCACAGGATGGCCAGAATGCAGACAACAACCATCTATCGCGCTGACTTGGGCTTCTAAAGAACTGATTGCCCTCTGCGCCCCTGGGCGCAGCAGCCTAAGACAAAACAACTGCGGTGCTTGGAGTTCCAACGTTTCCTTGCAATGGCGCAACGGCTTGCCTGTAACGCAGCGGAATGAGCTGCCAGTGGCATGAGTTGTCGCTAGCGTAAGTTGTCTGCAGCTATCTCAGCTCAGTATGTCCAGTGGCGCCAAGCTTTTTGTCATGGCGCCCGGATGTGAACAAAGCCTCACCATAAGCGTGACCCGTGCCAAAAGCCAGAGCGATCAAGTGTTGGCATGGCCAGGAGAAGAAAGATGGTAGCCAAAGGCTTGGGCTTGTATCAGGCCCTTCGCTGCGATTCATCTGCATCTGTCAGGCACACATCAGAACCCAAACGAGACAAAAATCGAAAGAGCCCCTGAAACCGAAAAGGTGAAAAGCATGGCAGCATCCAAGATCTTCTTGGAGAGGGAATGCCGGGAAGCTGGACTGACACAGAGTGAGCCTTGCCCCTGCATTGGTAATGGCAGAACGCTCCTTAGGGACAGGAGGACGCACGCACACACACACACAGAGACACACTTGAACTCCAGATGGAGAGTGCTAATCTTTCGAGTACAACTGATGAGTCTCGAGTACAACCGACAAGTCTCGAGTACGATGAGTTTCGGCTCGCAATGCACTTGGCTTCCCTGTAGGTACTTTAACAGGGAAACACAAAACACCGGCGGTTCAGGGAGGGGACCAAAAGGACTTTCAGCAACATCACGACGCAGGTACAGGTGTCCACGTCTGGACACCCTTCCCACCTTTGGCAGTAGCTTCATTGCGTGCAGTATGCCAAAGGTGCTGCACGCCCCTGCTGCGAAATAGAAAGGGTGGTGACAGGGCATTCTGTCACTCCGCACACACACGCCCCTCTACGAGGGGCGAGGTTTCTCTTTTCTCCTGCAGGAAGATCACATGCTCAAACTCAAATCACTATCGTTGACCAAAATATCCACCACGGCGAGGGGAGCGAGACACTGCCCTAAACCGCTCAGAAGACGGGAACGAAAGATCACCACGTTGAGCGTTGCGAGTGTCGCCATAGAGGACTGAAGCGATTTGTGAAGCAGCCTGGCGATCACCATGAGAAAACGGAGTGGCATAGGTGAAGGTCTCCTCAACTTGAACGGCATCGGAGTTCCGACCTTGACCAAGAGTCTGATCCTGTGAATCGTGAGTTGCGAAGGACTCCATCCGAGACAGAATGCGCTGGTACCCTTGGTGTTGCCAGTCACGGATGTTCCATGCCTGGACTGGCGCTTCGGGATCCGTCACCCGCTGCCATTCACGAAAAGAGTTTTCAGGTAGATCAGGTACGGCGTCACCACGGTGCCATCGTTGAGGTTGTCCCGGAGTGTATATCCGCACCCACTCCTGATCATGCCAGACCGAATATTCGAGCCATGGATACTGCTTGGAATCATCGATGTCCATGTCAAGGCAAGAGGCAAGGATGGTCGCGGGCTCCGATCCAGCTAGTAGATGAACAAGCACCATGCACAACCATGTTCAAACAACAGCAAAGCAAGATCATGCAAGTGTAGAGGCCACCCTTATTTTGTACGCTGCGCTGCTCATGCACGGCTAGTCGTCA